CTTCTTCGATTCTCCCTAACCACAAATGATCTTGGAGAGTTCTTGGACATTTTGGAAAGCTTATAACATTTTCTACAATCCATCTTTGAAATTAATTTTGAAATACATCTTGGAACTAGGTGAAAAATGTCCATGAAGTTAGGTAAAAAACCTGCCTAAATTAGGGCAAATTTTCACTAAGTTAAAAAGTTTATGGACCCCTATTCACAAATTCATATCTTGATATCCAAGCATATTTTGGGAAAACTTTGTGAATGAAAGTTGTAGATTTCATGGAGGAATACAAATTTCATGTTGGAAGTTTTCTTTGAATCCAATTTCATCATGGTGAAAAAGTTGTGAAAAGTTGGGGAAAAATAAGAAAATTTCCATACTTAGAAATTTTCTAAGTTATGAAAAATTTTCAAATTAAAACCCTAATTTGCAAAATTGGTTTTCTTGATCAACAAGTTTCACATTTTGACATATCTTGATGAATTATGACCCTTGGCACTTGATTTTGACCAAAAAGTCAAAGTTTGACTTTTTAGTGCATAGTTGACTTTTGATCAGTTGACTGCAAAATTCATCTGTCAATCCTATGCATTTGAGATCTTTTGAACCATGTGATTAGGTGAAGGTGATGCTATTGAGTCCTTTAAATCATGCTTGAACCCAATTGGTCATTGGCTAGGTTAAAAATCATAAATTGCCCTTTCTCAGTCAAAACCCTAATTTTGACCATTTTGCCCTTTTGATTATCTGATCAAATTTCTTGAGGAGTTGTGATCCAAACTTGATCAAATGGTTCATATGAGCCTAAAATGTTGTTGTGGATCAAAAATTATGAAGTTTGACTATAAATTGGCCATGGTTGACTTTTTCCCCAATACAACTGATTTTTAGGTTAATTGTCCAATTGACTGGGCAAAAATGTGATTCAAGGCTTGAAACTTGTCATGAGCAATCTTAGGGGTCCAATATGGTGTATGAAAGTCACATGAAGCATTGATGGTCCAAAAATTCTTGTGCAAACTCAAACCCTAATTTCAGGTCATCAGTGCAAGATGAGGTCTTGAGCTGAGCAAACCCTAATCCTGTCTGGAGTCCAAGAAGTCTTGTGAGGAAAAATCTTGATAAATGAGAGGGAAAATTTTGGGGTACAACAATATGCGTCGACTCATTCCCTTCATGTGTCGACTCATACGTGTTTTGTGTCGACTCATAATACTTTTTTCTTTCTGTTTTGTGCCTGTTATAGCAATATGTGTTGACTCATGATGCTTTGTATCGACTCATAGCCTGTTTTTTCACTAAGATATGTCGACTCATACAGGTATGTTTCGACTCATAATGTAATTTTTTCACTCCAACATTTTTTTGTTGCACGCGGGGGTTAGTTCTTAACATATAAACGACAAGAATGGAAGACAAAACAAAGGTTAGCTTCAAGGACATTGGTTACTATATTTTATCTTCAAAACTGAATCATTAATGATGCTTGTATAAAGAGTTAAAAGTCAAGAAGATTTACCTTGGAGCTGAAATTTGTATTTTGAGTTTGAATTGTTGTGTTGGGTGTTCTTGAGCTTAGGAAATGGTTATAGTGATGTTACAGAAGTTGTTCTTGTGTTTGAACAACTCCTATAAGATGTATGTAAGGTGTTTAGATGGTTTGTTTGGACAAAGCGTACAAGGTGCGAGATTCAAAGATTTTGACTTTAAAACTCAAGAGTGGAAGCTTTTTGGACAATTATGGATTTTTTGAGAGTATGAGATTTTGATGGCTAGTTTACAACAAAACTTATGGCTTTTATATCTATTTTTTCTCACCTCTTTCTCTTGCAATTGACCTCTCTATTTATAGAGAAGGTTTGAGACTTGGAACAACTCAGATTTTGAATCACATGTTATGACTATCTTGCTTGTTTTTGAAGCAAGCATGAAGAACATGTTTCTAAGGTTTGTACCCAACTATCTAGAGTGGTTGATCACTTTAAACATGTTTATTATGACTTGTAGGAGTTGAGTGTGATTAGAACAATAAGTTAGAGGCTCGAGAAATTGGCTTTGGATTAAAGTGAATTTTTCAAGAATGGATATGTTGCTTTCTTCCAAAAATGGAATGATCACTTAGACAGAGGCTCGAACACTTGGATCATATTTTGTGTTTCTATTAGTTCTTTATTACCCAAATGAGCTACCCTTATAGCCAACCTTTGATTAACGACGATCTTTTCCTTTTCAGTTAACTTTGAACTTGGATAAAATCCTTTTTAAGACGGGGCTTTGCTAAGTTTTGCAACCTCCACTAGTTATATGCTTTCAACATACTTAGTAGCTTTGACAGGTTTCGTTTGGTAAGTTGAAGCCTCATTTGTAGCTTTTTTATTCCTCTGACAACACCTCCACTGTGTCACTGTCATTGAAATTTTCCATTTATAATTAGGAGAAACTCGGTAACCCTTCGACTCAACCTTCTTTTCTTGGGCCTCAGTTTCATGTACAATCACCTTCCACTTCGGTCTTTTGCCCCTCTTTTGGCTCACTGGTTCCACCCATTTTTCTTGAGGGGTGTCTGATGGAGGGTGAAAGGTTTTCGAACAAGGTTGTTGGAAAAATATTCTATACTCTTCGTTACGTAGAGGGATTCCTTCTTTGTCGAAAACAAACCTTGGAACTGAAGACTTCACTTGCTTAAGAGCCTTTTTTTTACCACTTCATACTTCTCAGTTGCTTCTTCATCATACACAATGTTACATTTTGGACATAATTTGGCTTTCGACCCTCTCACTCTGCATTTTTCCTGAAAGTCAGCCAGACTCTTTTCGCCAAAGGATTAGTGTCGACTTACATCTTTGGCTTTTCTCCAAATTTAAGCATGCCTTCTTTCAAACCTTTTTGCACTAAATCCCTGGAAAAAACACATTGAGAAGTTTTATGACCAAGAAAATTATGAAATTTCCAGAATCCCCTTTTCTTCTTTTGTTCGAATGGGGTTTCTTCAGGCCCTAAGGGACCACAATTTTACCATCAGGTACTAATAAATCAAATATTTCATCATATTTGGTTATATCAAAGGTATAGGTTTGGTGACAGCTTTGTCATTCTTTTTCAGTTTCGACGTGGTTTTTCTTGTTCAAAGGTTTTAACAACTTACACGCGTAAGGAGGTCCAGGATGGAGTTCAACCACATTAACCTTTGTCTCTTCTCCTAACTCGTCTTTGTCAGAAGAATACTCATCAGTTACTACTTAAGCAACTTTTTCCTTTTTTGTGGTATTTGTTTGTCTTGGTTTGTTCGACTTTCAACCGTTCGATCAGTCGACCTTTGATAGCTAACTGAGCCATGGCTTTCAAGGAATGAGTATCTAGCAATTTCTTTTTGATGGAATACTCTAACCCATCTGCAGTCATTTCGATCAATTCGTGTTCAGGGACTTGTGTAAAGCATCACACTTTCAAAAGTCTAAATCTATCAAGGTATTGGTCTATAGACTCAGTGCTCTTTCGTTTAACACAGGACAATTATGTTAGGCTTATTTTGGACTGTCCCATGTGAAATTATTCACAGAATAATTTCTCTAACTGAATCCATGTTTAGACCGATTGTGAGGGAAGCGTTGTAAACCAAGTAAACGCATTCTTTGTGAGGGAATTGGGAAAATACTTCATCCTCAAATATTAATTCACTACTAGGTCACCAAGTTCTGTTTGATACCTGGCAACATGTTCGAAAGTGGATTATTCGACATCCCCTGCGAACTTGGTGAATTTTGGGAGTTTCCAACCTCTTGGTAACTTTGTTTGTAAAATAAAATATGGAAATGGCGAGACATACGTAGTTCTCTGACAACCAATATTCATTCCATTTATAACCATAATTCTTTTGACAATGACTTCTAGGTTTTGTTCTCCAACCACTGCTTCTTGTCGAACCTTTCTGACCATTTGATCGGCATTCTGGTTTTAGTTTGCTATTACTACTGGGGGTTGGTGTACTACCCTAAGTATAAGATCATCATATTAGAGAGTCGGTGGTTCTTGTTCGACGACTTTGTCGACCACCTCCTTGTACTGCACAAGTTCCTCGTGTGGGGGAGGCGTAGCTTGTCGAACTGGAGCACCAAGGAAATCCCATATACGAGTCATTTTAGTTGCTAAAGTCTGATAACTCTGCATCAAATTCTCAATCAAAGGTTTTAATATGAGACTCATCTGTTGAGTAAGCATATTGATCATCTCATGATTACTTTCATCCATTTGTTGCCTCATGATAGTAATAATACTTGGGGTGAAAGTAGGCATGACTTGGTGGGAAAACCCCAATCCAGTCGAACGACCAAATTGATTTTCCAACGGCTCTGAAGCATGATATGGGAAAAACGCTGACGCAGAATTTTCACCAAATGTCGGACTAGTATTATGTGGTCTTGCCATCATCATTGTTGGCATTCTGTATTCATGCGTATCTCTTGCAAAAGTAGACACGTATTGCCTAATAGTTGTGACTATTGATGGCCTTGCAGTTAATGGCTGTGTTATGATAACTATATTTGGCACAGTCGAAGACACGACTACCGAACTAAAATCCACACTCGCCGCCACGCTGGTATTTTCTCTTAGGTTTTGATCCCTTTCAGAAGTTTTAAAATCTACCATTTTTCTAGCACTTATCAATCTCATACACGAAATGAGATAGACCCAAACACAAACTAGAGTGGATTTGATTTTGTATTGTTTTTTTGAATTAATTGAAAGTTGATTTGATTAAAAAAAAATGGTTAACAAAAAAAGAAAAGAAAAAGAAGGTAGAAAGATGGTTATAGTTTTGTTGAAGTTTGTAAATAAGGAAAAAAAGGCAAATGAGAGAGTAAGACGTGGAGAAAGTAGAAGTTAGGTGAGGTTGTCGAACTCTGACTATTTTGGGTTATAATAGTATTGTTAGTTGGCAGTCACAGATCATTTCTTCTTCCTCATATGCATTGACTCGTTCCATGCAATCAAGATTTACAGAGAAAATGGCACAGAATGGCGAGCCTCCACAACTTACATGGAAGCGCAAATTAAACAATCTACCGAATCTTCCATCTGAATTCGTGTTATCTATCAAAGACATCATTCATCTTGTACGTTTAACGTTAACTCATTCATCTTGTACGTTTAACGTTACTTTACGTTCAACAATTATACTATATTTTCTATAGGCTCCAATTGGTTATCGACTATGGCGTTACACCCGTGAAGAAAAAGCCAAAGGAAGGGTAATCTAATCAATTCTCAATTCATCATTTCTATATAACTCCGCTCATCTCATCCTTATCTTTCTATCTTTCTCAGATTGGAATGATCGATCCTTTTGCTAAGCGTCATATAACTTCTTCCCACGCTGTTCCTTTAGGCGGTGTTGGGTCACTTTTCAATCCTTGCACTTTATATTCTACTTATTATCAACTATCATTTCATTCTATTTTTTTGTTTCTACAGTGCTGGAAGTATTGGAAGAAGTTTTAAAGGCCACTTTCAGCGTTGGCAGCTATTCCCTTTAGCATCTCAAGACAATCCAGTTTTTGCTAATCAGTTTTCTGTAACTTTTTTCTATTTTTCACCCTCTAACTCACCACTTGTTTTAATTATCTACTTCATACTGCTAATTATATTACTTTTCTCATAGCTTTTCGTTTCACGTCCAAATGCTGAAAAATATTCAACCGTGCTATGCTCTGGGAATCCAGATGTATTCAAGTGAGCCATTATAGACTGTCTTTTAATTTCATCATTGTTAAAGCCAGATACACATTTCTTATTCATCAACTTCATTTAGAGATAATCCAGCATCCGGGATTAAATCATGGGATTGGAATATGAATGGAACAAATTCCACATATCACGCATTATACCCAAGAGCTTGGACAGTATATGAGGGTGAGCTACGCTAATTCACACACTTCCAACTCCATTACCGTATTTATAAATTATACTGCATTGCATCTCTTACCTTGATCATCTTTATTGTTCAAATGCAGAACCTGATCCAGCATTGAAAATAGTTTGTCGCCAGATTTCACCTGTTATACCCCATAACTACAAGGAGAGTAGCTATCCTGTATCCGTTTTTACTTTTACGGTAGGCGGAGGTCACTTCATTATATTCTAGGTTATAGTTTTATACCTATCAGGTTAATGATGATCAGTCAATTTCATTTGATACAGCTCAATAATTTGGGCAAAACAACAGCAGATGTCACCTTGCTTTTCACATGGGCTGTAAGTGAAATGTTTTTTGCTGGCTCTTTACTGTTACAGTATGTTTGTTGAGGTATTGAGTGCAAACTATTTGTTGTGTACATTCAGAATTCTGTTGGAGGACAGTCTGAATTTACTGGTCATCACTTCAACTCAAAGATAAAGTAAGAAAATTGTCTGTTGGTTTATAATCTACATGAAGATGTTCCCATTTGATTGCTTTCCCCATCCCCATCCCCACACCTTGCCTTTACTTTATTCTAACATTCAAGATATATATTACCTCTTGCTAGGAGGCCTGATGGCGTGCATGGTGTGCTTCTACATCACAAGTAACTCTCTAACTTGTTAATACATTTTTAGGCAATGGATGAAAAATTAACTGATACGTGCATCTACAGGACTGCAAATGAGCAATCTCCGCTCACATTTGCAATTGCAGCAGAAGAGACTGAATATGTTCATATCTCAGAATGCCCTGTCTTTGTTATATCCGGTTCTCACGAAGGCATCTCCGCGAAGGACATGTGGCATGAAGTTAAACAGGTTATGGACCTGCTTTCAGATTTTATTGATCTTTGTTTTATGAAATGTCTATGTTCGGTGTTATTACCATCAAGTTATTCATTCTTTATTCGCGCTGTGTTGTCCCATATAAGCTATCACTATGCTCCAAGCATTTTATAACACAAGTACTTGAAGTTTCCTTTATTTCATTTTCCTTTTGTTGTGTGCCCGATTTCTTCTTATCAGTTATCATGACAATGATCGATACCTGACTCTCTTTGAACACCACTCTTTCATCATATTTTAAGATTAAAGAATCTTACCTCTTGGACTGTATTTATTAATTTTACACACCACGCCACATGTTCATTGGTAGTAATAGTATTGGTCAATGCAACTATGGATTTACATATGCTGATACTTATGTTGGAATCATATTTGCTAATCAAAAGATGAGGTAACTTAAGGAACTCATTCGCCGCAATCCACTTTATGTGATCTCTAGTCCAGTGTCAATGTGACTGAAACATCATTTACTAGCAGATTATGTTTGTAGAAACTCAGCACTTTAAGTTAACTGGCTTTCCAAGGGTGGACAGTTTAAGATAGGGATGGCTGGGCTGATTAAATGAAGATCACACAGTTGCAGATAGTGATTACCTTTTCTGCTTAGTATGCTCTTCTTCTAGATTTGTAGTGATGCTAGGATTATTTTTGTGCTTTGTTCCCTTAAGAAACATTGTAATTTGTAGTTGTTGAATTTCTCTGTCAACTAGAGATATGACCAAAGTAGTAATTATAAGGTTTAGACAATCCTCACCTCTTTGGCTGGCTTTTGAAGTTGAACTAGGCTTGACACTCAACCTCTAAGAGTAGTGTTAGAATTACTCACAGGTAAAACATGCCTTGTGTCATTAGTTGCTAATAGGATTGGAATTAGCAACTGCATTTGTAGTCATTGTAAATATATTACAAAAACAACCTTGTCCAGTCTAATTAGACACACAGAAATTCAAATTCAATATGGTGTCATAGTAGCCTAGTAGGGGACAGAGTTGTCAATAGCGGGCGCTCCAGCCGCTATCGCGGCACACCGTAGCGGTGCGGCACCCCCCCACGCGCTATTTAGGGTGCGGTGGCGGAGATGAAAAAGCGGCCGCTTCAGCCGCGTTCCCGGGCGGAGCGGCTCCGGTTCTCTTTTTTTTTTTAAACAATTTTCTGGGCCAAATTACTTAAATGCCTCTGTTTTAAAACAGTTTTTGTTTTCTTTCTCCCTCATTCGCTGTGTTTTATCGTGCCCTAATTCCTCAACTCTCCTTCTACGATTCTGCCGCCATCTCCCTGCAACTCTCCTTCTTCGGTTCTTCCTCCATCTCCTTCTGCCATCTCAGGTAATTTCTTCTAATTCTTCAACTTATTCTACTTCTTTTCTTTCTACTGTTTCTTTCTACGTTCTACTTCTTCTATTTTGTTTTGTTGTAAACACCGTTTCTTTCTATTTTGAAGAAGTTGAAGATGAAGAATTGGAGGAATATGAAGAATTGGAGGAATATTTTAATGATGCTACATGATTTCTATGTTTGCTTGAATTTTCATATGATAGTACTAAGTTTGAATTTGAATCTTTATGTTTTGAATCTTGATTAAGCATTGTTCTTTGTTTGACATTAGATTTTATAAATATTTTATGAGTGTTGTGAAATTAGTTTAGTATTACAATACATATGTTTTATAGATTATTATATAATTATTAGTATACAAAAAGTTATCCCGCTATCCGGGATCCCGCTATTCTCACTTTTCCCATTCCCGGGGGTCGGCCGCTCCGCTCCGCTATCCGGGATTAATAACTCTGATAGGGGATGAGTCTTAAGGAGAAGGTGGTGGAAGTGGTCTCCGTTGATAGGTGTGAAAGGTAGGTGGGAATAGATATAAGGGCAGGTGTGAAAGGTAGGTGGGAATAGATATAAGGGCGGGTGCATTCGGAAGATTAAGGACATCTGGAGAGGAAGATTGTAACTTACTAGAAACATTTGACTCTTTTGGAGTAAAAGGAAATAATGGACTGGTATCAAAGAAGCAGACATATGCTGAGACAATGTACCGCCTAAGATCTGGGAGTAACATCAATCAATAGCCTTTCTGCAGAAAAGAATAGCCGAGGAAAAGACACTTGAGAGTAAATATGTGCATCCAAAGAGGCATAAGGTAGAGACTAAATATGTGCATCCAAAGAGGCATAAGGTAGAGACTAAATATGTTGTTCAGGGAATAAAATGGAAAGTTATAATGGGAGAAAGAGAGTAATGAACTTTAAGGAAAAAAATTGCGTCGCTAAAACAAATGATGCCATAATCCGGGATAAAAGAATAGTTTCTACTAGATTTTAATTTTATAACGATGTAAGATTGTAAGTTTGATGATATCAAGCTTCGTGTCTTCCGTGCGTTTATTTCACTAAACTGAATGGTGGTACTCATTTTCTTTTCAGCATGGGTCATTTGACCATCTGAATTTTACTGGAACGTCGGTGCCTTCAGAACCAGGATCATCCATTGGAGCAGCTATTGCAGCAACTGTGACTATTCCACCTGATGCTCAACGCAATGTGACATTTTCATTGGCATGGGACAGCCCTGAAGTGAAGTTCCCTGGAGGACGGGTTTATAACAGGTTAGTGGTAGAAAACATGAATAAGAAGGTTTCTTGTTTAAAGACCATACAAAACTAATGAAACTTGATTATCAGGCGTTACACCAAATTTTATGGTACTAAAGGAGATGCTGCTGCAGATATTGCACATGATGCTATTATTGGTAATCTTCTTTTCTGAAATTCAGTAGCTTTTGTACCTATAAAGTGGAGATTGCATCTAGCATAGTTATATCAATAGATAGGCTGTAAAGAGGCAGACTATATTTATTTATATTTTTATGCCAAATTTAGATGAAGTTTCCACCATATTGACAAAACCGTGCAGAGGCATACTTATTTGTGAATAATTATTATATCAATCGGTAGACTTTTAAGAGGCAGGCTATATTTATATTTTTCATGTCAGTTTACGATGAATATACCACCATATTGACAAAAGCGTACAGATGCATACTTATTTGTGATTATTGATACCATTGATAAATTACTTACTCAAACTTTGTACGAATTGGCGATGTAGAACATCGTCAGTGGGAGTCCCAGATTGAAGATTGGCAAAGACCAATCCTTGAGGACAAGAGATTTCCTGAATGGTAATTATCAGTTCTTTATTCACTGCCTGCTACTGCAGTCAAAATCTAAAGCTTTCAGAGTTCTGTGCAGGTACCCAACTACCCTTTTCAATGAACTTTACTTCCTAAATTCTGGGGGATCAATTTGGACAGGTACTTTTAGCTCTTACAGTTTGAATCCTATTCATCAGATAATTAGCCCAAGTTTATATTGCTTTTAAATTCCTCCTAACCTCACATACATTGACAATTTTTTATCATGATTTTTTATTCTGTGTAGATGGTTCACCTCCTGTGCATAGTTTAGTTACCATAGGTGAAAGAAAATTTTCCCTGGATGGATTCATTTCTGATTCAGAGAATACCAATAATATATCACGTCAAAATGATACCGCTATTAACATTCTTGAAAGTTTTACCTCAGTAGTTAAGCAAATACAAACTCCACCTGCATCAAAGTCTGCATATGGAGTAAGTCTTCTCCAAGAAGGGGAAGAAAACATTGGTCAGTTTCTTTATCTTGAAGGAATTGAGTATCAAATGTGGAATACGTATGATGTCCATTTTTACTCATCTTTTTCACTAGTCACGCTATTTCCAAAACTTGAACTTAGTGTTCAAAGAGACTTTGCTGCAGCAGTGCTGATGCATGATCCTGGAAAGATGCAACTTTTACATGATGGGCAAATGGTATCAAGAAAGGTTCTTGGTGCTGTTCCTCATGATATTGGAATCTCTGACCCGTGGTTTGAAGTAAATGGATATAATCTTTATAACACAGATAGGTGGAAAGACTTGAATCCAAAGTTTGTTCTTCAGGTTTACAGGGATGTGGTTGCCACTGGTGACAAGAAGTTTGCACAAGCTGTCTGGCCATCTGTTTATATTGCAATTGCATATATGGACCAATTTGACAAGGATGGTGACGGAATGATTGAGAATGAAGGTTTCCCTGATCAAACTTATGACACATGGTCTGTAACTGGTGTAAGTGCTTATAGTGGTGGATTGTGGGTAGCGGCACTTCAGGCAACATCAGCCTTGGCGCGTGAGATTGGAGATAAGGGTTCTGAAGTTTATTTTTGGCACAAATTTCAAAAAGCAAAGGCTGTATATGAAAAATTATGGAATGGTTCTTACTTCAATTATGATAGCAGTCGTAGAAGTTGCAATGGTGGAAGTCCAAGTTCATCCATACAAGCTGATCAACTAGCTGGCCAGTGGTATGCTTGAACCTTGAATTTATTCTATATTTTTGCATGTGTAGCTAAGCTTTATCTTGGTAATATTTAAAAATAAAATTGGAACTTCCTGTTTCTTGTTTTGCAGGTATGCTAGAGCATGCGGTCTTTCACCAATTGTTGATGAACAGAAGATTAAAAGTGCACTTCAGGTTGTTTTCGACAACAACGTTATGAAAGTGAAGGGCGGAAAGCGCGGTGCTGTAAATGGAATGTTACCTGATGGAAAAGTTGACATGTCATCAATGCAATCACGAGAAATATGGTCAGGAGTCACATATGCCGTAGCTGCAACAATGATTCAGGAAAACATGATTGATATGGCATTTCAAACTGCTGAGGGGATATATGAAGCTGCATGGTCCACCAATGGTTTCGGGTAAAGTTACATTGTTTCTTTTAATACTTGAGAGATCAATGCATCTTGTTTCTCTCTTTATACTAATAACTAATTAAGATTCTTCTTATATCTGATCAACAGTTATTCTTTCCAAACTCCTGAAGCTTGGAACACTAAAGGTGAATATAGATCTTTATGTTACATGCGGCCATTAGCCATATGGGCAATGCAGTGGGCGTTATCAAAAGAAAAAGTCACTCAAGATGATGAAAGTGATAAATCTTATATAAACGAGGAAGAAATTGTGTCCAAGTGCCATGCTGGTTTTTCGAAAGTAGCTCAGCTTCTGAAGTGGAAGGAGGAGAGTGGATCCAGAAGTCTATTTCAGGTTATATATGACTTAACTTGCAAGAGGTATGTATAACCTGAAATCATTCTTGTGTAGATTATGTCTATGCGTATACCATTACAAACTCTTGTAACTTCTATTTCATGTCATTTGTCACACATTGTTAATTTTGATTCTGAGTGGTCCTACTAAATTGACCAACATTACTATTATTACAGTGCAATTGTATGCACTGCGCAATTTGAATTATTTCAGAATCTTATCTAATTCCTAATTTTAGTTTTAAATATAAATTAAGGTAGAATAAAAGTGTTTTTTTTTATAATTTAAAATTTTAGATTTTATAAAAAAAAATCATAAGAGGATGCTTGTCCCCTTGCAAAAGCCATCACAAGTATTTACTATGAAATTTATATATGAACTATTATTAATGTATATAATTATATTGTAACTGTCATATTTTTAGTATTTCCCATATTATCAGTATTCCCTTTATTCAAAGGAGTATGAGCACTTGTTCTTGTAAATGTATCGAGATACCATGTTAATGTTGAGAGAATGAGATAAAATGAAAGGACTTTTCATTATTTAGCAGAACATAAAAGTGATCGATATATGTACAAGAACAAGTGTTCATATATATACTCCTATGAATAAAGGGAATACTATTAATATCGGGAAATACTAAAAATTTGGCAGATACAATATAATTATGTACATTAATATCTTTCCTCAAGTTAGAATATGGATTGTACATAGATTCAACTTGGCAGAAATTAAAAATAATTGAAAAGTGTAGAGGTTTGGTGAATATGTCAGTTATTTGAGAGGATACCTTATGCTATCGCAAGAGGATAATGAAATTTCAAGGCTTTGAGTTTTAAAACAATGTGGTTTTGGGATTCCGGGAGATTTTGGTATTTTGGAAAATATGAGATTTTGAAGATTTTAAAAATCTGATTTTAAGATATTTTGAGATTTTGGTATTTTGGAATATATATGGGATTATGTAAGATCTTGAACGTTTGATTTTGAAAGCATGTTGCTGTTGATGATTTGAATGATCCCAATAAATAGATGAAGAGGACGGTATGGACTCTTATACTTAGGAAGATGAATGAATATAAAGGCTAGACCCAAATATTATTAATTGTTTCAATTATTAATTAAAACTTATTTTTGTCAAATTAAGAAGTTTTTTCAACACTAATACAACAACAGTCTATCAACTTAATAATTAAATCACACTTTATCATAATTAATAATTAAATTATCATTTATTGGAAAGAGAAAGAGAATAAATAATTGAGAGAAGAAAAAAAAAAGAGAATATGGAGAATCTTTCTTTAAGAAGAATTTAGGTGGGATGTGAAAAAAACTAGGTGTCAATTAAGGTATTAAGTATTGTGTTTTAATATATTAAAGATGAGAATTTTTTTTGGAATAACCAAGTATTAAAAAAAATCGTAAATAATCACGTTTCTGAAAAAATTACGCAAATAATCATGTTTCAGATGACTCTCCAAAGGAGGAGTCATCTCACTTGGCGCCTCCACTAAGCTTTTAGCCCTAGGCGCCATCTCACTTGGCGCCTCCTCTCTCTTTTAGCCAAGTGAGATGGCGCATGCACTACAAAAGTGAGAGGAGGCGCCATCTCACTTGGCTCCTAGGGCAAAATGCTGTTTTTTATAAATAATCTGTCCGTTTCTCCGTCATTTCTCACACTTTCTCGCACTGTTTTCTTACTTTTTTTACTTTGTTATTTGCGTCATGACATCGCCCATGATTTTTACCAGAGATAGTTACGTTATCTTCTCCGCCACAAAATCTGCGATGAAAATGAAATTCTGGCACATTCACTCCATGGAGCGCACCTCTTCTAAAATACCCCGAATAATATTAATTATATCAATGATTAAAGACATATTCCATCAGAGTTAACACGGAACAAGGGATGGCACAATTATGAAATAAATAAAACTTCCAATAAAACAGTAGTCATGCTACACTGAGGGTCATTATTCAAATAATTCAATCAAATTAAGACCATATCTTACACAGCGGAAAAATACCATAACCAAAACGGAATAAACCAAAACATAATTATTCCCAATGAAATTCAAAGAAACAATTGAATAATAACTAATTCCTCAACTAAACGTTTCCTAGTGTTACAACCTATCAGAGCACGACACTGACACGCGGACTTAAAGTAACATAGCTCTAGAGCCATCCTCACCAACTCCTGAGCTGCTAACTTTAATCTGAAATTGTTAAAGTAAGGGTGAGATTTCTCATAATTAACATGCATTATAAGCTTCTCAATCAACATTATATCACAAGCATATTATTTCACCCATTTTAGCATAAATTCATATTCAACACGCAGTTCCAATCATACAAGTCATTATGCACAAATCAATAATCAACCAAAGAATTGTAACACTGGAAGACACCCTAACATGTTACAATTCCATGCAAACAGAAATGCAGACACAATGCATGTGGTACCAACACGTGACCAAGTCACCCAACACTGATCCATCATCAACCGGATACAGCAACCATCGATTCGTCCATAAACACCCGGACACGAATCCAGCCTAACCACCCATCATCACCCGGGTATCGGTTAACGGCAATACAAGTCAAATTCCACACAATGGGAATTAACTTCACCAAAAACAATGCATATGCACGCACATCACTAGCATGCAACATCAAATTAGTCTATGAAATACATCAATTTATCATAACTGAACCAAAACCAAAAACATGATATCTCAATGATCATGCACACCATCATTAGCAACATAAACATGCCTTTCATTCACACAATACTAATACATCCATCCATCACAGGTTCACTGCTACATACACACCCATGTGCGTTAGCCAATAATCACTTATTCTGGGATTTGGCTCATTTTCAAAATAATTTCAGGTTTTAGGAAATCTTTTCATTTTATAAAATAGAGCATTAAATTTAAGAAATAACGTCCAAAACGGCACTCAAAACGGACTTACGATTTGAAAGTTATGAATTTTTAAAGTTTAATATTTTTCAAAAAGTTACAGCAGAACCCGGTTCCTACATATGCAGGAACCGGTTCCTGCGAAGTTCAAAAATCACGCTTCTGGAAAAATGTATGGGAACCCGGTTCCTACCTATACAGGAACCGGTTCCTACGTGCATTTTTACCAGTTTTTATAAATTCACACAGTGGAACCCGGTTCCTCCCCATTGGGAACCGGTTCCCACGACCTGCAGAGTCAAATTCTGCACTTTTGACAGCATTTATTCATTCTAAACCAATTCCAAACATACCCATACGAATTGCAACATGAGAAACACCAAAACACATCCATTTTGCACCATTATAACATCAAACAACATTATTTCATCATTCCTTTTTATCATTTGACACCCTAATGGTTTTCAACCTACAATTCGACGCAATAGGGACAATTCTACGGAACCCTAGAATTCCAAACCGGAATTTCCTAACATACTATGATCCATACTATTGAATATCTAAACCGATAATACGAATTAACTAATCGAAATCACCCCTTACCTTGTGGGTTCTTCGAATTCTGACGCTTCCGGTTTTCTCCTTCTTTTTCCTCTTCTCAAATGCACGTATGATGAATATTCCAAAATAACTCTCTTTCTCTTCTTTTTCCTTTTAATACTCCTTTTATTATTCCAATAAAATAATTAAATTAGTAATTAGTAAGAGTAGAGTATTTTACCCCTCACACCCTCTAATCACTCTTCACACCACCGATACTTCTTTCCTTTAATTAATTAAATTAATTCCAATAATCCAAAAATACCAATAATTAAATTTCCAATTAAACTAATAATTAAAAATTATAATTATTTAACAATCGGATTATTTGGGGTGTCACAACTCTCCCCAACTAAAAGAGTTTTCGTCCTTGAAAACATACCTTAGACGAACAGTTCGGGATACGAGTCCTTCATCTGACTCTCCAGCTCCCAAGTGACATTTCCATCTGTTGGTCCTCCCCAAGCCACTCTTACCAACGCGATCTCCTTGCCTCGCAACTGTTTCAACTTCCGATCCCCAATTCTCGCAGGTACCGCTTCCACAGTCAAATTCTCTCGTACCTGTATATCGTCTACCCGAATCTCATGAGACGGATCAGCAATGTACTTCCTTAGCTGAGATACATAAAAAACATCATGCAAATTTGCAAGTGACGGCGGCAAAGCAATCTGATAAGAAAATTTTCCAACTCTCTTGGTAATCTAAAGCGGACCAATAAAACGTGGAGTCAACTTCTTTGACTTCAAAGCTCGAACAATACCAGTCATCGGAGTAACTCGCATAAAAACATGTTCTCCTTTGCTAAACTCAAGATCTTTCCTCCTCTTATCGTGATAACTTTTCTGACGGCTCTGAGAAGTCCTCATCTTCTCCTGAATCATCTTAATCTTTTCCGAAGTCTGTTGGACAATTTCCGGTCCAATCACAGCACTCTCTCCAGATTCATACCAACACAACGGTGTCCGACACCTCCTACCATACAATGCCTCAAACGGAGCCATACCAATGCTCGAATGAAAACTATTGTTGTAGGTAAACTCAATCAATGGTAGATAACTATCCCAAGCTCCACCTTTCTCCAACACACAAGCTCTTAACAAATCTTCCAACGACTGAATCGTTCTCTCCGTCTGACCATCTGTCTGCGGATGATAAGCGGAACTCAAACGCAACATAGTACCCCAAAGCTTCTTGCAATCCCGTCCAGAATTTAGATGTAAACCTCGGATCTCGATCCGACACAATACTAGAAGGAATAACGTGCAAACTCACAATCTTCTCAACATACAATTCTGCCAACCTTTCCATCGGATAATCCATTCTTATCGGAATAAAGTGAGCATATTTCGTCAACCGATCAACAATAACCCAGATAGAATCACAATTCTTCGATGTCCTTGGCAAACCAGACACAAAATCCATAGAGATTCCATCCCATTTCCATTCTAGAACAAACAACGGTTCCATCAATCCTGACGGTTTCTGATGCTCAATCTT